ATCTGCACCTGTGTGTGTGTGTGTGTGTGTGTGTGTGTGTGTGTGTGTGTGTGTGCCTGTGTGTGCCTGTGTGTGCGTGCGTTGGCACGATCGCCCGCCCGCCCGATCTCCATGCTTGGTCATGTCGGCAATGCCAAAGTCAAGGTGGAGACGTGGAGTCTATACATATACACATAGCTCTAGGCACGTCGTGTCCATGTCCTGCTGCTGTACACATTGCTACTGCAACAGGACCATTCCTCGTCTCACATGTTTCCTTTGTTACCTGCAGCGAGCGGCGACACGCACGTGTTTGTGCACCAAGAAACAAAATTCGCAGGCATCATGGTAGCCAAAACCATCTACCGTCTCATAATACTGCCATCCATATAGGTGGCAATAGATACATGTTGCCGGATTGATTGGCACCCATTGCACCATGCCGGCTCTTAGATTACATGACATATACCACATGCACCCCCCGTCTGCCCATCATCTTGCCCTGTTCCGCTCATATCTCCGAGAGAGCCCCCACCCTCCCTTGTCCGCATCTGCGCATCGCGGCGCTTCCTGCATGCCACAGACACAGAGAGGGGATGCGGACAAGGAGAAACGGGTGAGATACCCATCCAGGCAACGCACGGCACGCGTGGGCTGAGGCAGAAAACTATCAAAAAGGAGATGAATGCCATTATCGGAAACGCCGCAGTCGGCCGTAATAACACACAAACCACCAAAGACGAGACAAAGCGCGACAAAGGGCACAAAAAAACACGACTCCGGAGTAGCCGCATGGCTGACAACAGCACGCTCATGGTTGCGCCCCCCCCCCCTTTGCACACCCTTTGCACACCCTTTGCACACCCTTGCCATGGGCCCCGACCGAGATCACCAGGCCCCCGACAAACCGCAATTAGACCAAAAACTCAATTGTCTGGTGTTGATGTCCGTCGGTCGGCGCAAGACCCCAACACCGCGGCACGACACGAAAAGCGGGAATACAAAACAACGCCTCATGGGCACGGGCAATGTTCCTAATCTGGACAGATGGGGTCTACTCTGTACACCTGGTGGTGAATGCAGAAAGAAACAAGTGCAACAAGACGCAAAAGAACAGATTCGATAGGCTAGCAAGATACATGAACCCCTCTCCGCCCCGTGTGTCCCCTTGGCTACGTCAATACGTAGCATAGATGGAGACATGCTTCTCCGCATCCAACGAATCGTGGCGAAACATGCTAGGCAAAGCAATGGCGTTGCCGTGCCGTGCCGTGCTTTGCAATGCAGCGGCATTGGCATTGGCATGTTGGTACCTAGTCTTACTGCACCTACACCTACACTACACCACTTTAACTTTGTCACGCCCCATCTGCATCTGCATCGCGCTGACGATCATCAGCAGCCTTCGCGCAGCTGGCACTCGCTCGCCGCTTTAATGCCCGCCGTGATGCTTTCCGATAGCGTCCGCTGACATACATGTCTGTTGATCTTGCCCCAAATCAGCAACCTGGCGATCATACGCCGCTGCTTTTACCCTTCCACGTCCCAGCTACCACCAGGCTTGCACCTTGCACCTTGCACCTTGCCCCGCGTCCTTGGAGTCCGTCGGTGTCGGCGTCAGTGTCGTCGTGCATTCTGCCTCTTCCCCTCTCCTTGTCTGGTCTGCATGCCTCTGTGTAGGTGTGCTGGTGTCCCCCTCTCCCTCGACCCTCCTCTCCCAACGGACCGTCTCCCGGACCAAAACACGGACAGGGAAGCCCGGACCAAAATGGCCGCCAGGGGGAGGGAGGCTTGGAGGAAGAGAGGGTGACAGAGAGGGGTCATGTCCATGGCAAGAAGCCCATGTGTGGGGTTGCTTGCACGTAGCCTATTCGCGAGTAGCATGCCTTGTTCTCCTCCTCCTCCTCCTCCTCCTCTTCTTCTTCTTTCTCTTCTGGGAACAACCTCCACAGTGGGGCCCTGTGTGTCCCTCTTTTTTCGTTACTACTCAACACAACACCCCTACCGACGGCCGTATCGCCCTTGAAACCTCCGCTGGATAACGCAAGTGAATGTGGCCAAGTAGCGGGTTCGCCTGACCCAAGTGGTTGCTTATGCAGAATGATGTGATATTGGCAGGAACAACAAGGCCAGCCCAGCCCAGCCCAGCCAGGGGCGGAGATAGGACAGCCCACTACCGCCATGTTGAGCAAAGTGCCAGGTATAGGGCAGAATAGCGCAACGCTTCTTTAGCACGACGCCCGTTTCTGGCATCCATGCCAAAGTCGTTTGTGTGAGCGGGCTCTGAGTAAGACGGCCATTATTCATCTCTTACAAAGACAATGCTGCATCTCAAACCAACAAAAAAAAGTTTGGAAATAATACCCTCACTCCTAAGCTTCCTCATAACAGACGATATTACGCCTCCTCTCGAACCCCCTGCTCCATAGCTCCGGCCTTTGTGACTGGGCTGGCACATGTTGTATTACCTGGGGTAAAGGAAAAAAAAGGGCCTATTGCTAACGAACCCTTGCCAAGGGAGACGTCACGGAGTCAGCAAATGTCGTATCAGGCCAAAAAAGGGCCATGTGATGCGAATTGCAATAATAGTCCACCGCAACAAGCATTAACGTATTCCATCACCGAGCGGGCCACATCACCGAGTGTGCCACTTTTTCTTGGCATCACGAACTTCACGTACGAAAGATAATGCCCCAACAACAGAACGCGATATTAACTCAGCAAGAAGGTAGGCTTACTCTAGCTGTTCAGGCCTATCGTACAGGCTAGTTTAAGAGCATTCGACGCGCTGCAGCAGCCTACAACGTCCATCATCAGCAGATCTCTCGGCGGCTTCAAGGAATCACCTTTCGACCTACAACACAGCCAAATTGCCAGAAGCTAACTAAGTCTGAAGAGCAAACTATCGTACGATATATTCTTAACCTAGACTCGCGAGGATTTGCCCCCCGTCTATGTGAAGTAGCAGATATGGCGGAGAAACTACTACGCGAACGAGATGGCGAGCCTTTAGGCAAATGCTGGGCAGAGCGGTTCGTTACTCGTACAGACGAGCTTAGAACAGCCTTTAGTCGAGCAAAGGATCGTCAGAGAACTCAACAAGAGGATCCAGAGATTATTAACGCGTGGTTCAAGCTCGTACGAGAGACGGTTGAGAAGTATGGAGTTCATTCAGACGACATCCATAACTTTGATGAAACTGGCTTTCAGATGGGCGTAATTGGCTCAATGAAGGTAGTCACAGGCGCAGAGCGTCGTACGAGGCCTACTCTCACGCAGCCAGGCAATCGCGAGTGGGTTACAGTCATCCAGAGCATCTGCGCTGCGGGATACGCTACCCCGCCATTCATTATCTACAAGGGACGCGTCCACATCTCTGCATGGTACGAA